GACAGAGACAGGTTAGTTAACAAGCCTACAAATGTACATCTAGCATCAAACTTTTTGGTGCTCTTGCTGTTCTATACAGGGGTTAGACCAAAAAATGTAAAACACTACATGATTTTCAGGTGTGAAAGTGACCACGTTTTACCTTGACAGCAGAAGTGATGACACGTTTGCTTCCACTGTGTGATGACACCTAGCTAACTGGTGGGAAGCGTCACTTTTATCAATCACTGTGTGCGCTCCTAGTAATACAGACTTGTGTCAGAGCTTTCTGTGCTTCAAAGGGGGCAAATTGTTGGTGCCCACTTAGCTGGTACATCTGTGACTAACATTGCCAATTTATTTGCCGTGTCGCAAGGTACAGTATCAAAGGTTATGACAGCATTATCTAATGATCCTAACATGAACATTTCTCTGACCATACGCACCCTTAGACATTACACACTGATCAGCCATGATCACCCAGCTCATATTGAGTAGGTTCCCCTTTTGCTGCCAAAACAGCCCTGGTGATCACGGCAAGACTAGACCTCTGAGGGTATGCTGTGGTATCTGGCACCAAGCTATCAGTAGCAGATCCTTTTAAGTTATGTAAATTGTGAGGTGGGGCCTCCATGGATTGGCCACTACCATCATGGAATACCTTTTCCAAGAAGGAGTGTACTTGGTCAGCAACAATCTTTAAGTATGTGGTGTGTATCAAAGTAACATCCACATGAATGGCAGGACCCAAGGTTCCTCAGCAGAACATTGCCCAAAGAATCACACTGCCTGTGTTGACTTGCCTTCTTTCCATAGTACATAGTGGTACCATCCCTTCCCCAGGTAAGCTCAAAAATTGGACAGTGCATGTGATGTGAGTAGGTACAACCAACAGCAAAGGAATACCATGTTTAGGTTCCATGCACACTAGTGGGTTTTTTTTTGTTTGTTTTTTTTAAGCTAAAAAAAAAACTGGATAAAAAATGCTCATCATAGCATTTTATTAGCCTTTAGGAGCATTAGCATTTTTACAGTACATGTGGAAGAAAAAACAAAATCTAGAAAAAAGCTGTTAGGAGAGTTTTAGCAGCATTTAGTGTTTTTTTTTTTTTTTTTTTTTTTCTGCTTGAAAAACGCTCCAAAAAACTACAAATACGATTTTTTTTTTTTCTGCTCCTAGACATTGAAACTCAAAATATGCTAATATCCTAAAGGTGGGAATACATGATTAGAAAATCGACCGATCGGCCATCCGACGACCGAGAGGCGTTCGTTGTTCGAAATCGTGGCCCATGTTAACTAATCTAAAAAAGATTGTTTGTCGGGCAATACGTAGTGTATAAGTGGAAGTGATGCAGTGTGCGTGTGACCTTGTAGGCACGCCATTATGGCCAGAACGAGCGATATACACAACAATTAACAGCTATGAGTATAATATAGTTTATTACATTAACTATATACATAGTGATACATAAAATATTATATGCAGAATTCTGCTTTCATTATCTCATTAGGCCAATCTACTATTAACATTTGGAGTTTTCATTCATGTTTACGAGGATTTCCTTGGACATAAACATCCGGGTCATCTTCTGTTTCCACTCATGCATGATAGCGCTTGATAGATTTGTTTTGTACAACCGTCATACCACCGCATAATAAATCGGTTGTTCCTATGCGAAACAACATCATTTTTCACTGTTGTTCAACCGGATTTTTTTCATTCACAATATCGTTATTGGTTAAAACATCCTGATCATCAACGAAGAGAAAATTGTTTGATCAGTGGTTTTGCAAACTTTTTCATCCAATTGTCTTATCGTGTGTACGGGGCATTAGGTAGTGTGCATGGATACATGGAAGAACACTATTTAGCTTCTAGAAGCAGAAAGAAAATATTCTGATAACAGCTTCTAAGAGCTTAAACAACCGCTAGTGTTCATGGAGCCTTAAAATAAAGGTTTTGTTTGAAATTGTTCTGTGTTTTAAAGGAAAGAAATCGTCCATTTCAGTATGTGTGTTTTTTTTTTTTTTTGTTGTTTTTTTTTTGTAACTATTTTCTAACTCGTGGTTATATACAGAAAAAAAGATAAGAAAAATAAGTGCATGTTAATGAGATTAATTACAGTTTAAGTGAAGACATTTGGTTCTCTGTCCATAATATGTTAGCTTTGAATTGGATCCTGTTTACTCATTAACCAGTGCTCATCTCTTGGAGCATCACTACTAATGTGTTCAAACTGCAATGCTTTTTGATACCCAAGCAACCAAGCAAAACCCAGTCTCTTTGATTTGTGTGAGCGACTATTGGAGTGGAGCAATATACAGTGTTTTCAAGTATTCAGACCCCCTTCTTTTTTTTTTTTTTTTTTTTTTATGTCGTTCTGTTGCAGCCTGATACTGCAGTTGTTTAAATTCATTTTTTCTTATTATTCTACACTCAGTACCTCATAATGACGAAGTGAAAACAGATATTTAGAAATTTCTGTGAATTTATGAAAAAGAAAAAACTGAAATATCACATTGGCATAAGTATTCAGACCCTTCGCAACAACATTTGAATTTTAGCTGAAGTGCCTCTCATTTCTCTTGATCGTTGCTCAGATGTTTCTACACCTTTACTGGAGTTCACCTGTGGTAAATTAAATTGATTGGCCATGATTTGGAAAGGCACACACCTCTCTATACAATGCATACTGTATCAGAGGAAAACCATGCAGTCAAAGGAACTGCCAGCAGAGTTCAAAGACAGGATTATAGCAAGGCACAGATCTGAGGAAGGCTACAAAAAGATTTTTGCTGCACTGAAGGTTCCCAAAAGCACAGGGGCCTCTATAACAGTCACACCTTTGGCTGCTTTGTGGCAAGACATTCAGTGCATTTTGGATGGATTTATTAAACTAGTAATTTGGTGTCCCTTTGGTGTGGAGTTACGTTGCTGTCAGTCTGCTGTCATTGAATCACTTACATGCTGTACCAGCAAGGTCAGAATGTGTCACATTCATGTTGTGTGACCCTGTTTACTATATGCACATCACCTTTTAAGCTATTTAAAGATAAACTTCAGGCAGACATATAACACCATTTCTTCCAGTTATGTATTTTTTAAAAAATCTTTACACGAGTTTGCCTACTACTACAAGTGCCTAAATCTGTTCATTTCCCGTAATGCCCTTTTTTTTTTTTTTTTTTTTGTTTTCCACAAAGCAAACTTGACTTAAAGTGATTGTAAAGTTTTTTTTTTTTTAACCTCTTGCCCTCCTGAGGATTAACCCCCCCCCCCCCCCCAACTGGGGCATTTTTTTGCGTTATGGCCCTGTGTTACTTTAACTGACAATTGCGCTGTCATGTACCCAAATTAAATTTACGGCCTTTTTTTTTTTTTTTTTTTTTCCCTTAAATTGAGCTTTCTTTCTGTGATATTTGATCACCTGTGCGGTTTTTTTTTTTTTTTCAATCAAGCAAAAAATAAAAAGACCGACAATTTTGATTTAAAAAAAAACTAAATTTTTGACTTTTTGCTATTAAACATGTCCAGTAAAAAAAATCTAATTTTGTCAAATTTTCACCAAAATGTATTCTTTACTAAAAATAAAATCGAAATGCATGTAAATTAATTGGTTTACTTGAAAGTTAGTGTTTAAAAATAGTATATATACTGAGATTTTTTTTTTTAATTTTTACTAGTAATGGTGGCGATCAGAGACTTATAGCGGGACTGTGGCGGACATTCTGACATTGGGGGGAACTGACTTGGTGTCACTGACATTGACACTGTAGTAAACAAAACAGTTCTGCTCCCCATCGGAGATTCTTGGAAATCAATGGGCGCTGGCGAGTAATCACATGCTGGGACCCGGTGATGGACAGTTAAAACTGGAGAGTGCAAAATCTGGTGCAGCTCTGCATGGTGGCCAATCAGTTTTTTTAACTTCAGCTTGTTCAATTAAGCTTTGACCAAAAAAACTGCAAGCTGATTGTTTCTCTGCAGAGCTGCACCAGAAGATTGCAGTCTTCAATTTTACTAAATCAACCCCACAGAGCGCGGCTCCATTCCCACCCATCCTCACTGGCTGCGTTTGACAGCAGCAGGGGCCAGTGAGAAGAGAGCCCAGAGAGTCCTGGCTCTCGTGCACATTGCTGGATCAGGATAGGGCTCAGGTGAGTATGGGGGAGAGGGGGAGGCGGGAAAAGCTGCACTCAAAAGGCTTTTTACCTTCATGCGTAGAAGGCATGAAGGTAAAGAATTTCTGCCTTTACAACCGATAGCAGATTTTCTAATGGACACTCGCAAGAACATTCTCATCAGTACATTTGATGATCTGATGAATGTTGTTCAAAAGTACTTAAAAAAATTTTTGCTTTTAATGTTGGAGTAAATGGACTTCCCTGAATAAGAAACAAATTTACTGTTATAAATGTTCCATTCTGCTTCTTCGAATTTTCTTGTAAATGTGATCAAAAACAAATGTCAATTTGACCCCGCTAACCATTAGAAAATCAAATTTGTCAGCCCTGCCATGATGCTAGTGATGTAGTGGCGGAGGAAGGGGGGGATGCCACAGCAGGAGGGAGAAATAGACATTTGATACATCTGGATATGTTTTATACTTAAGTTTGGCATTTTTTTTTTTTTTCGTTCAAGTGGGTTGAACAAAAACGAAAAAAAAAAAAAAAGATTACTCAATTCCCCCATCCACACATTTTGATGTGGATGAAGGAATCCTCCCTGTTGAGCTGTTCTATTCTGGCTTAACTCACAAGAGTGTGAAGATTGGCTGTAAGGGAGGGAGTATGCATTTTACTTCTTAATTTTGATTGGAGCATACCTATAAACCTTTATGTTGCCATTTGACCATCTTCACTAGACTGATATGACCAAAGTAACCAGTAGTTTCTTGCAATCTGGCATTAACAACGCCAGACTACTTCAGCAGTAGTATCATAGAAGAGTTACAGTATGTGATGCATTGGTATCTGTAAAGATATTAATAATAGCTATCTATATAATTTTCCTGCAGAGGCCTTGCATCATCTGGTCAAAAAGCCAAAGAAGACAGCTGGCTTCGATCCCTCTTTGTACGTAAGGTCGATCCTCGCAAGGATGCCCACTCAAACCTGCTGGCGAAGAAGGAGACCAGCAACCTCTACAAAATACAATGTAATTATTACAGTTCTCTGTTGCATGTGACATCTGTTTCTACAGTAGAGTTGTATAGTAGAACTTTTTTTTTTATAGCGAGACACATGGGAAAATTAAATATTAATATTTAATCTTTTTTTTTTCTTTTCAAAATATACAAACAGCATAGAAAACAGAAACAATTTAAGATATGTCATATGCATATAAAAAAATGTAGACACAAAGATTGTTAGGCTAGGACAGGGGTGGGCAAACTTTTTGACTTGAGGGCCGCAATGGGTTCATATATTGGACCCGGGGGCCGGACCAAGAGTAGATGAATGATGTGTATGTGTCATCCATAGTAAGTATAGTAATATTCCCCCATAGTAAGCATAGTAATTCATCCCCCATATAGTAATTCATCCCCCCTATAGTAATTCATCCCCCCTATAGTAATTCATCCCCCCTATAGTAATTCATTCCCCATATTAATTCATCCCCCCATCCCCCCATATAGTAATTCATTCCCCATATATTATTCATCCCCCATATTAAGTCCCCAAGTCCCCCCTTGTGTCAATTCACTTACCTTTGCTCCGCGCGTTCCTCTCGCCATGTTCCCGCGCCGTTCCGGTGTAGCATGAAAATCTGTCTCCTATGAGGATCTGCCCCCTCGACGTATCTGCGCATGTGCCAGTTTCAGGCATTAGCAGCCGATCGGCGATCTCCGGCACATGCGCAGATACGTCGAGGGGGACAGATCCTCATAGGAGACAGATTTTCATGCTACACCGGTCTTCAGGGCGGACTTTGAGAGGAGCCTAGCGGGAGCCTAGCTCCGCGGGCCATATTAAAAGGTCCGCCGGGCCGTATACGGCCCGCGGGCCGTAGTTTGCCCATTGCTGGGCTAGGATAACACTATTGTGGGTACAGAAGCACTTGTAAATCCTGCGTGTTCAGCTCTTTAGCAGAAACGTGGGGGTGCCATTAATTCTTATTGATAAACCCACGCATCTGAGCATGCAACACATTTTAGGGCACCATGAAATTGCATGGTTCCGCATCACCTTGTGGTTCCATACAGCTGTCCTATGGGTGCACTTTGGTTAAAGGGTCAGGGACCTTTTCCCTGCGTTTCCCGTAGGTATAGCAGCCCATTCAAATGAATGGACTGCTATGCCTTTGCAAATACTGCACGCAGGACCTGCAATAGTGTATCATGAAAAGTATAGTAAGTTGAGGAGTATTCATGATTCTATCACCTATAAGTTTATGGTTTACAGTGGGTATAGAAAAGAATCGCTCCCCCCCTTAAAATAATTATTTTGTTGCTTTGCAGCCTGAAATGAAAACACACAGTTGTTGTTTTATCCAACTGTATTTATACAGTGCAACTTATAACATCCAAGATACAGTGCAACTCATAACAAGTGAAAGATATAACACCAGAAAAAAATAAAATTCAAAAACAGAATCACTGAGTAAAAAGAAGGCTCACCCCTTTGTGTTAGTACTTTGTTGAACCACCTTTTGCTTTAATTACAGCTTTTAGTCTGCAGGGATATGTCTCTACTAGCTTTGCACTTCTAGACTTTGCAGTATTTTCCCACTTTTCTTTGCAGAACTGCTCAAGTTCAGTTAAATTTAATGGTGACTAGGCCATGCAAGGACATTCGTCTTTTTCTCCTTCAACCACTGTGCGGTAATGTTTGCTGTTTGCTTTGGGTCATTGTCATGTTGGAAGGTAAACTTTCTTCCCATTTACAACTTTCAACAGATTTTCCTCAAGAATTTGATGGTGTTTTGCCCCATCCATTTTCCTTCTATCTTGACAAGTGCTCCAGTCCCTGCTGCAAAGAAACACCCCCATAACAGTATATTACCCCCTCCATGCTTTATTGTAGGAATGGTGTTATTTAGATGGTGACCTGTATTGGATTTATGTCAGACATACCGTTTAGTGTGAGGCCAAATAATTACATTTTAGTCTTATCTGACCAGAACACCTTTTTCCATGTGGCCTCAGAATCTTTAAAGTGCATTTTTGGCAAAGCTCAGTCGTGACTGCATGTGACCGTTCTTGAGGAGTGGCTTTTTTCTTTCAACCTTCCCATACAAACCACATTTGTGATATTGTTGTCACATGTACACAATGACCACTCTTTGTCATAAATTTCTGCAACTGCATCAGATTTGCTGTAGGCCTCTTGGTAGCCTCTCTGACCAGTTTCCTGCTGACCCTTTCATCCAGTTTGGAGCGACGTCCTGATTGAAGAAGGGTTTGTGTTGTACAAAATACCTTCCACTTCTTAACAATGGACTTCACTTTGCTTCTAGGCATTGATAGATCCTTTGATTTTTTTTTTTTTTTTTTTTAATCCATTTGCTGACTTTTGCCTCTCCAGAGCATTATCCCAGAGCATTTTTTCTTTCTTTTTTTTTTTTTTTTAGAAGGCAATTTGTTTTTATTTAACGATTATATTGCTCCTCTAACCTGTGTAATTTAATGGCAGGAGCCTTTCACTAAAAGTTTCTGTACAATATATGGCTTTAATGGGATTTTATAAATAAAGCTTGTTTAAATTGAGAGACACAGATGAAGGAGGCATCAAAAGAAAGGCAACCCTAGAAAAACTGTAGTAGAATCCTTGCCATGTGGCCTTCAGGCTTTAAAAGCATACGTATCTTAATAAATCTTAACATAACTTCTGGTTTATTGTCTTTCACAAAAAAGACAACCCTAGTACTCAAAATAGGTTGCAACCTCCTCCTTTTGATGTGCTTGTTTCTATTTACATCCTTGGCAGCAGTCCTACATTCTTGGCAAAGTTCCAAGCAGGGACTGCTTATCCACTTACGACCAGTCACTGGACTTCAAGTGGTTGTACCGGGTGATGCATGCAACTGCAGGCATCACCCTGGTACTGTTTTTTTAGAGCCGGAAGTCCGCTCTCTTGTAAAAGCAATCAGAACAGCTAACTAGCTGCTCGTTTGCTTGTACAATCAGCGGTAGGGGACGTCACCCCCCCGCCACCTTCTGTGACTCTCTCAGGCTCTCCCATCCCACCAGGTGACCCAAGTGAGCAGCTGGCATGTTTTCCAGCTGTTCGGAAAGCCAAAAAACGCCAGCTCTCTGTTTCATATAACCTGACATCACTTCCGGTTTTACTCAGAACTAAATGGCAGCATTCAAAAATACCAATCTTGGTGTTTTGAGTGCTTTTAAGTGTAGAAGATAGATTTGGGTCTTATAGACCCTGATCCCAACATAAAGAATACCTGTCACATGCATATTGCTGTCACAAGGGGATGTTTACATTCCTATTGACAGCAGTAAAAGTGATAAAAAAAATGTAAAGGAACAATGTAAAAATAAAAAGCCTACAATAAATTAATAATTAAAAAAAAGAAATTAAAGAGCCCCCATCCCCTTGTGCTTGCGTGCAAAGGTGCACTCATGCAAACATCGATTGTGAGAAATCGTCGCAAAGCATCAGATTGTGGGCAGTAATTCTAGCACCAGACCTCCTCTGTAAATATAAAATGGTAACCTGTAAAGGCTTTTAAAGCATCACCTATAGATAGTAAAATTTATACAGTTTGTCGCCACTGCATGGGTGCGCACAATTTTAAAGTGTGACATGTTTAGTAACTATTTACTCAGCGTAACATCATCTTTTATAATTTACAAATAAATTTGGTTATGTATTGGTTTATTTTTGCATTAAAATAAAAAAAAGTATTTTTTTCCCAAAAAATTTAGTTTGAAAACCGCTGCTCAAATACATGTGACATAAAAAATTAGCAAAATCCACCAATTTATTCACAGGGGCCTCTGCCTAAAAATATATAATGTTTTGGGGATTCTAAGATATTTTCTAGCACAAAAAAAAAAATGATTGTAATATATGTAAACAAAAAGTGCCAGAAAAAGCCTGGTCTTCAAGTGGGTCTGAGAGTTTTAAGTGGGAGATCTGGATAAGTGTCCTTTTTTCCCCAACAGATATCAGCATTTATTAAACATATGTATGTGGAATGCTGTGAATATCTGCTTTGTAGTTAATCTTGAAACATTTTTATTTTATAGTTCATAATGTAAAGCCGGAATATCTAGAAGCCTACAACAAGCTTTGGTGAGTCTGCTATTGTTCAGAATTAGTCTCTTTTACCCAAATGATAGCTTGGGACTCATGTACACAGGCCTATGCTTGTGTCTGAACTACTTCTTTCCCTCATACAAGTCAAATATGAATGCAGAAGATACTTGATACAGTTCAGAAGCAGCTCCATAAGCAAATGGGAGCAAGGCAACTCAAATGCAACGCAGAAGCACCTTTAAGAAATACTACATTTTACTAACTTCTGAGTCTGTTTATGTAGTTGAGCCCTTACTTGAGTTTACATCTCTTAGGCTAGTGTAAATGAAGTTTGGTGGCTCACCTCTGACATAATTTTGTGAAACATTTTTGATGTATGCGGAAAACAATATGGGCCAATGTAACTATGTATGTATAAAAACATACATACCTGGAACACAACTCAAGAGTGTAACTGAACTGTACCTTTGGTACAGTTAACTTGTAAATATATCATCCGACTTTCTGCCTTCCCAACAACCCCCCTTTCTTCCCCCAGCAAGAACTGAGACTGCAATTAAAAAAAGGCACAAAATGCTTCATGATCTGCTAATCCGTGCCTTTATTTATGTCTGTGCACCTTTTCACTATTATAATTTTACAAAAACAACAGATGTCATTGTATGATCAAATTTTATGTATATGGATAATCTTGGCTGCCTGCAAAATTGTTTTTAAATATGTTCATTTATTGATGGATTAGGAAAACAATCTTCACACACTTGGTGCTCATTCACACTGGATCCAACTTTGAAATCATGCCACTTCACAGTCACATGTTAGTGCAACTTGGCTGACATCTGTGTGATTTCATGCATAGTAGTCTATGCAAGTCACATTTGAAATCGCAAAAAAATAGTGCAGGAACTTTTTTTTTTTTTTCTTCAAATCGGTGCAGCAACGTAAAGTCGGATACACCGATTTGAACTGTTCCATTGCCAACAATAAGTTGCGACTTATGCGTTTTTAAAATTGTTAAATCGTATGTGAACTAGGGCTTAGTGCCTTTTTTGCTGTCTCTGTAGCTGGTACAATTACAATATTTAGTTTTATAACAAGTGCTATTTAATGTATGTACAGTATATCTGAGCATAGTTTGTTTTGATAATAGAATGGTTCACAGTATTTAATAAATGAAAATTAACTGTTAGTGCAAATAAAAGAATATCATGTAGAGTACTCAACTCTTCTGTTAGAAGTGCTTCATAACAGCTGTAATCATGTAAAATTGTTTTACTTTTGTTGTATTTAAGCGAAGAGATATTGCCAAAGATCCATGAAGAAGAACATTATCCCTGTACGCTAGTAGGGACTTGGAATACATGGTACGGAGAACAAGATCAGGCAGGCAAGTGTAATAAGCCTCTTGGCATCATTTGATATTGAATTGCTTATTTAAAAACCAAATGTTTAATATTCTGGTGTTCTCTAATGTGAAGTGCTGCTTTTTTAGGGCTAATTCACGCTAGTTTTGGTTTCTGAAGTATAAGCAACATTCGGATCGCTCTTCAGAGAACTTTTAACAGGTGGTGAGGAGGCGTTATATCACCTCTGTACCTCCTGTTTTAACCCTTTGAACCCAGCACTAGCATAATGTGGGCAGTCTCCCACGGTTATGGGGTGTTTGCAGAGCAGCCACAATAACTTGAATGGGTTGTGTTTTCAAGGCGCTGTGACCACTGAAAGTGACATGGGGTATAAATACTGCTGCAAGCATGGTATTTCTACACCTCTGGCCACTGCTGGTACACACTGTAAGTTGGGGAGTAGTAAAAGTGCTGCTCAACCATGGGGTTTTATCACCCCCAGCTGATAGTGTGAACAAGCTCTTATGCACCTTTGTTGTTCACAACCACAGTTCAAGGAAAGATTAAAAATTATGTAGCTAAAAAACGAAATGTGGAATTTATGCATATAATTTCTGTAATTTTATGTTTTACCATTTGTATTGATCTGGCAAGGAAAACACAGACGGAGGAATTCGTATGTCTGGCTTGTGCCACTGTGCAACAAATATTGGTGCAGGCAACAGATTCATGTACAATACAGACACTCCATCCTGCCGCTGCAACTGTATAGACAGGGCTTTTGAGGATGGGTGGGTGATGCCTGATGTAGCTTCAGAGACACTGGTTTCCCATCAAGTCTTCAACATTTGTGATTTTGACAGCAGGCAGTGCGCATGTACAGATATGTGGCCTGCAAAAATTAAATGGCCTTGTCTTGTTCAGTGTACCACTACTGACCACAACCTCTGCTACAGCCGTGTGCAGTAATGATTTTAAACAAGTGGTGAGGAGGCGACATATTGGGGTTTATTTACTCTGGTTCACTCACTCTCCTGTGCATGGTAGCCAACTTCACCTTCTTGTTCAATTAAGACAACCTGGAAGCTGAGTCAGAAGTGACATTCTGCATAAACCCCCATTGTCTCTTCACCACCTGTCAACCACCTCCTGACAATCGAGTCGAAATGCATACCTTTTTCAAAGGAGCAGCAAGGGCTACCGCAAATTTGAATGAGCCCTTACAGTTGTGAGATGTTGAATTACTGATCACACTGGGGCCATTAGTTCCCCTAACACACCAGAAGCAAGATCCATCTTCTAGTGGTATGCAACATTAGACCTATCCATCATGTCGCCTTCAGGAGGAGCTAGCAGAAGGTATTTTTCATATATAATGTTTCATTTTTATTTTTAAGATCTATGCAAAACAGATTTGCTTTGTGTTAAAATTCTTATCTGTATTTATTAATGTTTAGAAACACCATGCTTTTATGTATAGGTAGTTGTAATCCACTGTACCAGGGGGAGCCTCATATACACATTTACATACAAAAGGTCTTCCTGCTTTGATGTATTGCATAGTGGTTTTGCTTTACTGTCTCTTCTCACAATTCAAGTCTATAAATTGGCAATTTCATTGAAAATAATTTGATCCCATTGTTTAATAACATAGCGTTGCTATTGCTAGTGGCTAATCTACAAAAGTATAATATGATTTAAGCTGACCTGGAACCTGTGTGCAGGAGTTCTAGCTTTCCTTTTGTGCATGCTTGTTCAGGATCAGTGATGGTAGGTCAGAATTGTCAGGCAGCTAGCATTTTCATATCGAGATCAACATTGCCAGCCCCTGAAATTTTCCCAGGACCAGTTCAGTGTAACGTAGTATAAATTTACCTAATTGATCATTGAGGGACACAGGGTCAGAAGGAATTCTGAGACACTGTGTGATACTATCAAATTCAGAAAAATTGGACACTGGCAACAACAATACAGAAAATTGTTAAACAGGCCGTATAATGCACACATGCTCATGTCCTAGGAGATTTCTCAGAGAAAACAACCACAGTTTTTTTTGTTTTTATTAAAACCTTTTTTTCAGTTAAGTTACTTAGTCCACTGCAAAGCCAAGAGATTTTCCAGATTGTCTGTTCCTCAGCACTGCCTTGACTCTCGAAAGATTAGGTTGGATCCTGAACCTTCAGAAGTCAGCATTGGAGACTACCCATCACTTAGAGTGTCTAAGCCACCTTCTAGACGCTGCTTAGTCCAGGTTACTCTTTCCACACAAGAAGCTCCTGACCCCCTGTTCCTAGATTTGCACTCTGCAGTCCACAAACCGTCTCACTTTCTGCTGTCCTGGGTATGATCGTGGCCCGTTAAAGAAATTCCCTTCACCCAATTCCACTTCCGACCATTGCAACTGAAAATTCTGGATATATGTTACAAAGAGTTGCAATTTCTTAACAGTCACATGACTGACACCCAAGACCAAACGATCCCTGGACTTGGTGGCTCACAAACCATGCCTTGGAGTCAGGAAATTCCTTCTTCCTATTGGTCTGGAGGATCTAGCCACCTGGTCTTATGTTCAGATGTTCTAGAAGTTTTAGCAGGTGGATGTTTAGGCCTCCACTGATTCAAGCTTCTGGAATAAGGTTCTACAGGCAGCTCTTTGAGCCACAAGTAGCCCCCCGGTTTTACTGTGTTGTTTGCAGGCATGTTTGCTTTTTGTTTGCTGTGTTGACCACCCCTCAGTTGAACTTTTTTGGGAAGTTGAAGAAATCTAACTCTGTGTCCTATAATTAACAATTAAAAACAGGATGTTTGACTTCTAAAATCTTTTTTCTTTGAACCATTAACGGACACAAGTCCCACTCCTCTGTCTAATAGTCACTTCTGCTGCTTTTCCACAACACCGAAGCATGATTAAGGTGGGAGGGGTTATTCTGCTTGTTCAACAATTGTTTTCCTATGGTCTAAGGCAGACCATAGACGAGCCGTTTATCGGCCGAATTTTCGGCCGATAAACGAAAAATCGGTCGGCCCCGTTGCCGATGCTGCCACCCATGTCCATGAAAAACAGCCATTTTTTGCGGATTTTCCAACATGACCAATAAAAATAAATGAGGAGATCCGCAAAAAACGGCCGACGGGCTGGCCCCACTAATGGCGTGATTATCGGCCGATTTTTCGTGTGGACGAAAATTCGGCCGATAAACGACCTGTCTATGGCCTGCATAATTCTCCTGGTTGCGGCATAACCTATTGTTTCAGAATGCCTTCTGGCCTTGTCCCTTTAAAATAACATTCTAGTCAAATCCTAACTATACCTAAATCTACACCCATCCCCATTTTAAGCCTATTCTAATTTCCATTTAAAGGAAAGATGTCTATGCTTACCTGTGCTGAGGGCACTCTGTTCCAGTCACATTGGTTTCCAGCACCAGCTTCACTGTAAAGGAGGGGCAGCCGACAACGGGGTGTAGTCATCACCCAGGCTCTACTGCTGTTGTCAGCGATCTCTCTTCACCGAAGCTGGCCGCTGGGGAGATCATGTGACCGGAATGGAACGCCCTCATAATAGGTAAATATAAACATCTCTCCTTTACAGGGTAGTTAGAAAAGGCATAGAATGAGGACGGGAGCAGGTTTAGGTATGATTTAGGATTTGACTGGAATGCTCCTTTAATCAACTTCTAGAAAAGATCCACAATTCTGTTTTTAGGGCACATGCATTGGTGCATTGGTGTGATGTGGTGCTGTTCATTCTGCATTATACCCCAACACACCTTGACATGCATTGTAGCACTCCACAATGCAGGGTAGCACACTATAGCACATTGTAGTGTGCTTTACAGAAAATAGTGCATGCACCTGTTTTGGTGCATTAGTCAAAAAATCATACTTTCCCTTGAACACACCACATTACTGTAAATTCTAAAACTGTTGAATGGAATAACTTTTAAGAATACTCAGTAATGCATAAAGTGGATAAATTTTACTTTTGCATTTTTAAAACATTTTACAAACCCTGAAGGAATGTGTGGTGCACAGGCTTACATGACTTTGTTACATTGCAGTTCACTTGTGGAGGTATGAGGGAGGATATCCAGCATTGACAGAGGTGATGAGTAAACTCAGAAAAAACCAGGTAAGCCTTCCCTATAGTTACTACTATATGGTGATTGTTATTTTGATTACTGATTCTGAGACTGTAATCTTTGTGGTTAAGTTCTTTTTCTGCCTTGAGTATTTGTGTGCAATAGCCCCTCCATTTCCTCCCTTTCAGTAACAGTATTTGTCATGGACAACGTATGGGATAAATTACAACAGATATTATGCAACTGCTGGCATTCGATGAAAAAAAAATTCTGTTGAGAAATAAATCTTGTGTTGACATTCATTGTATATAAGAAGCTTGTCCAACATGCACTTGGCAGGGTTTAAAAAAAAAAAAAGAAAAGGAATCTTTAGACTACTCATTCATTTTAAACACACAGAGCATACCTTGCTTTCACTCCCAGTGCTGCAAGATCTCAAAATTCCATGTATTAACAGAGGGATGTGCCTCCTCCCACAAGAAAGCATTTGGTGCCTGACCACCTTATTGCCAGAACTGATCATTGTCATTGGTGGGGCCTGCCAAGGCCTTTGGAAGAATCCCCTATAAAAAGTAAGAGTTTTCACTGGAACCTTAGGTAACTTTTAGGGAAAGTACATATAAATAAATATATGCTATGGTACTTTTAAGGTGCTGCTACTAAAGTAATATTACATGCACCCAGTACAGGTGTACCTATTTGACATACTCTTTTGGTGTACTACAGTGACATTATTTTTTTTTCCACATTCCATAATGTACTTGCTACATTTCTTCAAAGAACTAATTCATTATTACTGATACCAGATTTGTGGGGGAAAAAAATACATGGAGGTGCCCATTTCAGATGTCAGAAAAAGTAAGGCAGAACATGACTTATCAGTAAATTACATTACCTGCTTGATAATGCCTCCACTTATATTAGATGTCCTGTTCTTGCTGTGATTTACATTTTAATGCTGTGCTTTCCCTTCTTTCCTAGGAGTTCACAGAGTTTCGCAAAGAACGGGGCAACATGTTGCTGTCTCGTAAAAACCAGCTGCTTTTAGAGTTCAGCTTCTGGAATGAACCTGTCCCAAGGCAAGGGCCCAACATATATGAGCTGAGGTCCTACCAGCTGAGGGTAGGTATATTTTTCTTTATAAAAATATGTGAATAGTCCATGTTTTTACTTGTATTAATACTGTGTTGCAGACAAATATGTTTACATTTTGGGAAAAATACTAGGATTTTCCTGTGTCCGATAGAAAGTCTGTCACTGAGACAGTATTAGCTTTCAGAGCAATAGTTGTGCTGGCTGCAGTTGTAGAATGAGAGATGTGACTAATAAATATATTACATGTGATGCCAAGATACCTTAGCTTTACTTTTATGTTTAGACACTTGAAATGATGATTTCACAACATACTGAAACTCCACTGTTGGGTAGTAGCAACTATGATGGTAAATACATCAGGTTTCAGTTCAATTCTGCAACTGTAGCTTCTGGACTACTTAGAAGGTAACCTACAGTGTGTTCTGTACCACCTTCTTCAATGCTGTGTTGAAACTAGACCAGGCCAAATTTTTTAAATCTTATTTCTTACAAGCATCTTAATACCCACTTTATGAGTTCTATACCTTTTAAACAGGGTTTCTCTGATGTTTGAGGAAATTGAAGTTTCAAACTCCCTTTTAAGTACATTTAGAATGCTGTGATTGGTAATGTCATTTTTTAAGCATAATGACAACCTGTTTCTTGGATAAGGTAAGAGTTAAGGAAAGCAAAATAAAATACTGAGAGATTAGCAGTTCTCAGTAGCAGACCCTGGGGCATAGTAGATCATACTAATTTTCTGGCACCAGCATCTTGCTGCACACATATAGCACGTTTTGTCATTTAAATAAGACTGATTTAACTAGGTAACATTGTTAGCTCTATCGTTCATACACTTCCATTGTGCTACATGGGACATGCTTTTTTTCTCTTCCAGCCTGGAACCATGATTGAATGGGGAAACCACTGGTAAGGACACAACCTGCTAGACTTGTATTTGTTTATCACTTAAGTATGAGGCCTTATGCACACTGGGCATTTGCCCAGCTCTTCTGAATGCTTTTTCTCCTGGCAGGAGAAAGCCACATGTTTTGCAAACATATTTAGGCATGTCAAACTTTTGGGCGTTCATCCATTTAATTGGCCCAAATATTAATTTTATTGTGGCCATTGAAATGAATAAAATGCTCAAGCGCTAAATGCACCTAACGTTTAGGCATATTTGCGCTCGTCGGGTTTTTTTTTTTTTTTTTTTTTTTTTTTTCTTTTCTGCTCAAATGCTTCTCTCCTGAATGCGCCAATGATGTGTTTTTTTTTTTGGGGGGGGGGGGGGGGGAGAGAGTTCTGCCTTTTTAAATGCCTATGTGTGCATGGACACATAGATTAAATAGAGGAGCATTTAGGGCCACAAAAAAAGCCAAACACCCTTAAAAGCTGTGTTTTTGATGTCCATTGTGCATGAGACCCAGGGATGTGCAAATCATATTGGCTGACAGCGGGACTTGCGGTTCTGGGCGCCAGGCAGGTGGTTTTCTTTGACAGTTAGCCCTGCTGCGAGCAAGCAGATGATCAGCCTCAAGACGCCATGCACCTTACTACAGGGGGAAACAAGCAGCTTTAGTCTGGCTTATCAGCACTGAGCATGCTGATGTGTTTAAGAAAGTGAGTGTGACCATGATCTCTGCATTTCCCTTCCTCTCCTTTGCCTCCCCCCTCCCTGTGTTTTGTGTTGGTTCTTGTGATTACCTAGCTCCATCCTTCTTCCCCGCCCCCTCCTACTGATCAGTATGCCAGGATTGAGGCTTCAGCACATCATCTGAGCAGCTTCTGAAGTTGGTTGCTTTTCTGATAAGAAATCAGAAAACCAACAAATCCTCCTTCAAGTTGTTGTGGTGTATCTGAGTGGAAAGTAAATATTGTATGGGCTCTGGAGATAAGTGCCTTAATAAATTTAGAAAAAAACAAATATAATTCTTTAACTACTTGCCCATCCTGAGGATTTACCCCCCCCCCCTTCCTGACCAGGCTTTTTTTTTTGCAATTTGGCACTGCACTATTTCAACTGGTAATTGCGCAGTCATACAAAGCTGTACCCAAACGAAATGTATGTCCTTTCTTTCACACAAATAGAGCTTTCTTTCGGTGGTATTTGAGCACCTGTGCGCTTTTTATTTTTTGTGCTATTAACAAAAAAATCCTGAAAATTTTGAAAACAAACAATATTTTTTACTTTTGGCTATAAAAAAAATATTATAGTAAACTCAAATTTTGTCATAAATTTAGGCCATGTATTTTGCTACGTCTTTGGTAAAAAAAATCCCAATAAGTGTATATTGATTGTGTGAAAGTTATAGCATCTACAAACTATGGTATAGATCAGTGTTTTTCAACCTTTTTTGTGCAAAGGCACACTTTTTTCATGAAAAAAATCACGAGGCACACCACCATTAGAAAATGTTAAAAAAATTTACCTCTGTGCCTATATTGACTATATATAAAGTAATTCTCTTGAATAGGAATCAAACACAAAGAAATTATTTTTTATAATTACTTTATTATGAAATAATAAAGTATTTTATAATTGGACCCGGGGCCGGACCAAGAGTAGATGAATGATGTGTATGTGTCATCCATAGTAAGTATAGTAATATTCCCCCATAGTAAGCATAGTAATTAATCCCCCATATAGTAATTCATCCCCCATAGTAATTCATCCCCCATAGTAATTCATCCCCCATAGTAATTCATCCCCCATAGTAATTAATCCCCCATATACTAATTCATCCCCCATACTAATTCATCCCCCATATAGTAATTCATCCCCCATAGTAATTCATCCCCCATATAGTAATTCATCCCCCATATAGTAATTCATCCCCCATATAGTAATTCATCCCCCATATAGTAATTCATCCCCCATATAGCAATTCATCCCCCATAGTAATTCATCCCCCATAGTAATTCATCCCCCATATTAATTCATCCCCCATATTAAGTCCCCAAGCCCCCCCTGTGTCAATTCACTTACCTTTGCTCCGCGCGTTCCTCTCGCCATTCCGGTGTAGCATGAAAATCTGTCTCCTATGAGGATCTGTCCCCCTCGACGTATCTGCGCATGTGCCAGTTTCAGGCATTAGCAGCCGATCGGCGATCTCCGGCACATGCGCAGATACGTCGAGGGGGACAGATCATCCTGACAGTATCACGCTCCGCGGGCCGGATTAAAAGGTCCGCCGGGCCGTAGTTTGCCCATTGCTGTTCTAATTGGTCTATTTGTGAGCCGAGGCCACATGTTACGGATGAAATTGCAATTTTTCCCACGGCACACCAGACAATATCTCACGGCACACTAGTTGAAAAACGCTGGTATAGATACTGCAATTTACGGCATTTTTTGCTATACAGCTCAGCACTAGTTTAACTGACAATTGCGCAGTCATGCATTACTGTACATAAATTAAATTTATGCCCTTTTTTTCACACCAATAGAGCTTTCGGTGGTATTTGATCACCTATGCACTTTTTTTATTTTTCACTCTATAAACAAAAAAGACCAAAAATTTGGGAAAAAAGCGATATTTTCTCATTTCTGTCATTAAAAAAAATACCCAAAAAACTCAAATTTCGTCATAAATTTCGGCCAAAATGTATTCGGCTACATGTTTTTGGTAAAAAAAAACAAAATGCCAATAAGTGTATATTGATTGCTTTGTGTGAAAGTTATAGCATCTACAAACTATGGTATAGATAATGGAATTTACACAGCTTTTACTTTCTGACTGCTCATCACATTTCTTGAGGTGTTAAAATACCAGTACAGTACAAACACCCCCAAATGACCCCTTTTCGGAAAGTAGACACCCTAAGCTCTCTGCTATCTGTTCCAAAAGTTTTTGAAACATGACAACAAAAACTTTTTTTTTTTTTTTTTTTTTTGACACAAAGTTGTCATTTAAATGATATATTGCTCACACGAGCCATGGGTATATGTGGAATTACAACCCAAAATACATTCTGCTACTTCTACTGAGTATGGGGATACCACATATGTGAGACTTTTTGGGAGCCTAGCCGCATACAGGAGCCTGAAATCCAATGTCCACTTTGAAAGTCTGAAGGTGCGTAACTTCCTCATTTCACTTCCTCACTACCTATCATAGTTTCAGAGGCCCTGAAATGCCAGGATAGCACCACCCCTCCCCCCCCCCCCCTTCCCAAATTACACCTTTTTGGAAAGTAGACACCCCAAGGAATTTAGAGGCATGGTGAGTATTTTGCAATCTCATTTTTTCTCACAAGGTTTTGAAATGCAAAAAAAGAGAAGAAAAAATGTTTGTTTTTTCTTCATTTTCCAAAAACTTGTGGCAACAAACGAGAAACGAGATCTGCAAAACACAGTGCTTCTTATCAAATTCCTTGGGGTGTCTTCTTTCCAAAAAGGGCTCATTTGGGGGGCTTTGGTGCTATCTTGGCATTTCAGGGCCTCCAAAACTGTGATAATCAGGAAGTGTAATGAGGAAATAAAGCCCTTTTAATAGCCTGAAGCGGCTTATTGGATTTTGGGGTCCTGTACTTGGCTAGACTGCCAAAGTCTCTCACATGTGGTATCTCCATACTCGGGAGAAGTAGCAGAATGTATTTTGAGGAGTAATTCCACATATACCCATGGCATGTATGAGCAATAAATCATTTAAGTGACAAGTCATATCTGCCACCCCTCTCTGCCAATCTCTCCACTGGCTTCCCATTGCCCAACGGATAAAATTCAAACCATGAACAATAACATATAAAGCCATTTATAGCTCTGCCCCAAATTACATCACCAACCTAGTCTCCAAATATCACTAAAACCGTACTCTCCACTCCTTGCACGATCTCCTGCTCTCTAGCTCCTTTGTCTCCTCCCATGCTCATCTCCAGGACTTCTCCAGAGTTTCCCCATCCTCTGGAACTCTCTACCCCAATTTATCAGACTATCGCCTACTCTGCTCACTTTTAGGCGATCTCTGAAAACCTATCTCTTCAGGGAAGCCTATCCTGCCCTCAGCTAATAATGGAATCTTCTACTCCTCCTACCAGTCCATCCCCCACAGTTACTACCTTTTTGTACCACTAGCCCCTCCCTCTTAGAGTGTAAGCTCCAAGGAGCAGGGTCCTCCTAACCCTCTTGCATTGAACTGTATTGTTGCTGTATTGTCTCCCGTTATATTATAAAGTGCTGAGCAAACTGTTGGCGCTATAAAAATCCTGTATAATAATAATAGTACTCGCACAGTGACTTTTCCAACGCAATTTTTTTTAAAACAATACACTTTTTTTACTTTATATGCACAAAAACACAATATATTGGCCAATTATTCGGTAACTTTTATAAAAGATGATGCTATGCCGAGTAAATAGATACCAAACATAACATGCTTTAAAACTGCACATGCCACATGCAATGGCGACAAACTGCGTACATTTTTAATATCCATAGGCAACGCTTTAAAAGCCTTTACAAGCTACCATTTCAGATTTACAGACGTGTTCTAGTGCTAGAATTACTTCCCTTGATCTGACGTTTGCGGTGAAACCCCACATTCATGGTGCAACCGCTGTTTACATACTGGCATTGGGTGGGGTCAATGCTCATTTTTGATTTTTTTTTTTTTTTTTTATCACTTTTAACGCTATCACAGGGAATGCAAATATCCCCTTTAACTTCAAAGGGCATTGTCATATATTCTTTTTTGAGAAATCTGGGGTCTATCAGGCTCTAGATATCTCTTCTGCCTTTACATTATCTAATCTCGCCAAGATCAGTGTGATCAGATGCTTTCCCAATTTACCAATGGTGCTGTTTATATCCTGCGAAACTGAAGTGATGAAATGCTCGTAGTTTCCGATTTCTTAGACTATGGAGATGATTGACACCATTCCAGTCTCCAAGCAGCTCTATGGTCAGCTGGCAGAAACACCGGCTGCAT